ATACAATAGTGTATTAAAATTATATTCAATAGTAATGTTTAGCGCTGAATGAGAACGGCCTTTCAATTTTACAAATTAATGTCAAACATATTGAAAAAAAAATTCAACGTTCTGCAATTTTGGTTTAATTGGAAAAGTAGACAATGTCTTTAAAAAAATTATAAATCGTAATGCCTATTTCCTTTATAAAAGTAATAAATCTAATGATTGTAAAACTTACTTTAAAAAATCCAAAGAAAATTTTTCCAATTACTTTTATATAGTTCATCGAATGCAAGAGACTATTTCTTTAAGCTCATACCTCTCTGAGCTTTGTTAAATATATATATATGAACTTTGCTATCAACAATAATGAGGAACATTACATATATACTTTTTCAAGTACTTATTGGTTTTGATATTGTTTTCAGCTTAAACACAGGGCGAAGTCTTAAGTATTTGTGATAATACATAAATACAATGATTCAAACCCATTTTTATATTTGTATGTTATCGTTGTTGTTCAATAAATGCTATTTGCGTCTTGCCATTTCAAAAAAAATTTTATGTGGCTCTTTCATTTATATCATAAAAATTAAACAGAGGTTGCATATAAATATATTATAGGCTATTCGGATTTTTACAGCAGACATTGACACATAATCCCTTTCAGTGATTTGTTTCCCCTGAACCGTCAGGCGAAGGGGAAATAGGGAAGACCGAATAACAATTATATTTAACTGGAGTGCCCTGATTTCAACATTAGTTATCATTCTGATCTTCGTGCATGCTCACAAGGTATATGGGCTCATATATCCTGATAATGTAACAAATCCAATTGCAAAATTAGCCAGGATATTTCACTGCAGTATAGTATTACTTTTTAAAAGCATTCCGGGAATTATACATCTTGCAAATATAGTATTTGTTTTAAATGATCTGTACTTTGAAACATAACAATAATTAGGGGTTAGAGGGATATCCAATAAAATATGGTTAAGGACTTTTTGCCAATTATTTGTTAGCTTTTTTTTTTAATTGCATATTACTCACCCAATTTAGATTCAGATGGACATATATAGATATTACTAAATATAAAAAAAATTTCAAATATTTATTGATGGATGAAATTATATGGACACAAAACATATAGTTTCTTTTAAATAACCTTTAAAAGAGTTTTAAAAATCAAAATTTAGAGAAAAATACTGAAAAAGCAGACGAAGAAATAAAAACATTTACAATGATTGTTAAAGCCATGGCGGTGCCATGTGTTAGCTAACATCCTGTCTTTAGGTCTTTGGAAATAGTTGGTGCATTGGTGTTCATACCACAGGAGGGAAAGCGAATCCTGCATGGCTCGAGAACAAAAGTTTGGGAAGTCAAATAAAGGAAACATTTGTAAGCATCAAAATAAAAAGTGACCAAATCATAAATCAAATGCCATCTAAAGTCAACTTATTTTTTGGAGTTGCAACCTTTGTTTCAAGAACTTCATTTAGAAATTGAAAAATAGAATTGAATTGTGATTAAATTTAAAGAAAATGTAGATCAATTGTTCATAATAATATTTTTGCATTTTTGCACATAACAAAGGAAGTAGCTATTAAGGGAGAATTAGACAGCAACCAACTGATACAAATAACTAAAAGACGTATATATGGCAATACCGGTAGGTACAGTCTTCTACAAAAGGGCACGCTCTTTATTCTCTAAAAAGTGTGGATATTTAAATTGTTTTAACTTTTATTTCCAAAAAAGGAACTATAACGCGTAAAAATTATTACGGCGCTTTATAGCAATAAATGTAGTTATGTACGTGCAAGGAGCATGTAATACTCCCACTTACACTTTTTTTTATTTCACGCCCATTATCATCATAATTACATCTTAATTATAGCCATGCACAGTCTATGAAAGAATAGTTATAAAAGTACAACACATTGCACATTATGTCTAAAATACATTTTTTAATAGTCGAATACCAAAAAATGTATATTCCCCCTTTTCCGGTTATTAATAAGATATACGACTACATTGTTCCTTACGGAAATGCAAATAACGAAGGTTGAATTATTATGAGACTTTAATTATTACCCTTTGAATTCGCCAATGCGCTTTTTATTTTCACCTCAAAATGTCATGTCTGTGCAAAATTCCGACCTATATGGATTTTTTCAGTATGGAACAAGGAAGATCCAAATCCGTGCCAACATCAAAGCAAACACAACAATCCGTACCACACAGACAGAAAAATAAACTGTGTGTTGGAAGAAAGAATATTATATAGTTGAAAAGAATTAGGAAATCAAAATAGTGTTCCCATAATTTAGGAGAGTATATTGATATCACCTTGCAAGACTGTATGTACATACAAGCAGGAGGTAGACATTTACTTAAAAACTGCTGACATATTGTATAATAACACCACAAAAAATATTATATCATACGTGAAAAAAATTGCTTTGACATAAAAAAAATCATTATTAACAAAACGGAAAAAACACTTTATTTTTCCTTTTGGTAATAGTGCATTAAATACATATCCCTTGTTAGATCAATACTATCTTATAAACAAATATGAATCACACTTTGATAACATTATAAGCGGTTACTTCAGAGTAAATCTTTTTATATCTTGTCTGTATGAACCAAAAGACGCTGAATTAAAACATTTTAATGCCCTGCATTTTTCTTATATTCCAGAATAGACAAATACAATAGGGCGAGTCATTCGGTGAAAAAATTTAATGGAAATTATCAAGGATAACTACACAATATTCCCTAACGGACATAAACACACATCATTAAACAAGTGTATATCAGTTACGAGGTTCATGACTCGGGATTTCAACATGAATATGAGACGGGTTGAAATTTAATATTGATTGTTGCTCCAATCTTGTCATTAAATATGTTGTAAATAAACTCATCATATATACCAAGATCACATTTTTGTACGCCAGATGAACGTTTCGCCAAATATATCTAAAATCCTTAGTATCTTGAGAATGCAAAATTATTTTAACAGTAAATTTATAATTATGACCATATCAATACAATACAATCCATGTCAACACAGAAGTGCTGACTACTGGGCTTGTGAAAAACCTCGGGGAAGAAATCTGTACCAACAGTGGCATCGACCCAGTGGTTGAGAATAAGCTCATCAAAGATACCAGGATTATAAGTGTTTTTAATGAAGTTGATTTATAGTCAATGGTTTAACAAATTCCAGGATTGCATGGAAAATTGGAGTTTTGGCTTAAATCCGAATCTTATGTCAGGAAGGAAAATCGGGGATCATTTTATTTTCCAAACTATTCCTCAGAAAATTCAGACACAATAATGAAAAGTGAGGATGATGACCTACAATACTCACGCTTGCTACAAGAAACAGTTACACATATTTAGCTTATCTGTTTTTTGGAGAAGCGACACACAAAAACAAATAACCTTATTTAGTTTTATAGATGTTTCAAAATCTATAGATTTTCTTTTTATAGAACTGTTCGTTTTGAACGCTTATAATGTAGTGAATAGGGAACAAAATGTCGTTGATCAATATAAATGAAGTGGCTATCAAAAAAACGTTAAGTAAGAATAAAACAGTGTGTAATGAATACAATAAAAATAAAAATAATAATAGTAATTTATGGCCTACTTTCAAAGCAAATGCTTTATAATTCTTCTCCATATTCCAAAGTCAAATAAAAACATACCATTTGATTGATTCCAAAGGGAAAGGAGCAATCGTTTAACACGTTAAGCTATATACTTTTTCTCAATAAAGACATTAATGTTAGTAAGAAAATTATTTAATAATAAAGCCGGGAATACCATAAATGGGTCATGCAACATACGGTAAAATTGAACATAGACCATTTTGGTTATCTCATTTAAGGTTTGTTAAGCTTTGATGTACAGAGTGCAATTGCAATTGGCGTTTCAAAGTTCATTCCACATGCTAATCCAAAAATATAGTTATGGCGTGTCGTATTATTCGCCAGGTGCATCAGATGGTATTTGGTATGTACCTTGCTAGCCAAACGTTTCCAAAGATACCATTTGTCTTGCAATAATACTTTCATAATTCATAATCAAAACAAAATTAAATCGACTGTTCTTTTCTTCTTCAATTGGAGACAGTTTTGTTTTTATTTTTTTTCCTGGGTTTATTTCCCATATTGAGCTTAAGCTTACGCTCATAAAATGATTTATTTATCTGCTTTCTCCATGTTTAAGTTTATAATGTTTCAAATGAAGTATTTTCCGCAAAGATGATCTTTAAAGGATAAGTTTGTTTAGCTTCAATTAGTCAGTAAAACAATAATGAAAATAAATACGAGCACAATAAAAGTTGTATAAATAAAGGCAACAGTAGTATACCGCTGTTCAATAGTCATAAATCGATTTAACTGAAACAAATCCGGGTCACAAACCAAAACCGAGGGAAACACATCAACTATAAGAGGAAAACAACGGAACAACATAAACACTGAACTGCTACAAAAACAAACGCCAACATACATAGAAACGGACTATTTGATAACAACTGCCATATATTGTATAACTCACAATAACATAAACGGTACCAATTGAAATGCACCAGATGCGCATTTCAACCATTAATGGCTCTTCAGTGATGCACGAGGCTAAAAGTATTTGAATATCAAAAATCTAATACAAATGTTGACAAGATTCTCGACTTTAAATATTTGTCTTTGAGCGTTCCTGATGTAAGTAATACAGAATAGCGCTTCGGACCATGGATATCAATAAAGTGTTGTTTATTATTACGCGATATTCGACCTATTTTTAATACAAATTATATACAATAATTTTGTCTAGATAGCATTGTACTTGTACAATACAACAACTACTGCATATTACAGCATCCGACATATTACGACAATACGTGAGTCACTAATTTGTAAACAATTGCAACCACAATAAAATAAAATGCTGTTAAAGAATTTATCCAATCCACTGCTAGTATCAAATCACTATAAAAAGGGGGATTGATCCTGTAACCACAAGGAAGTTCTGAACTGGTGTAGCAGTAGGTTCGGTAAGTCCATATTGAGTCTATTAAATTGCCATTAGGTTATTTTTGAGCTGTTGTATTTTCAAAAATAAAAAAATAAAAACATATTCGTTTTTCATTTTAATGCTGTCTTGATATTTATACGTAAAGGACACCTTAGTGTATATAAACATTACTATCTGATTATATCGAATGAATATGGTATGATTTTCCTCTTTTGTATCATGGCGATACAGTTATCCAATAGACATAAAGAGACCTGAATATATCGAATATATCGAATGAATATGGTATGATTTTCCTATTTTGTATCATGGCGATACAGTTATCCAATAGACATACAGAGACCTGAATATATCGAATATATCGAATGAATATGGTATGATTTTCCTATTTTGTATCATGGTGAAACAGTTATCCAATAGACATGAAGAGACCTGAATATATATAATATATGGAATGAATATGGTATGATTTTCCTCGTTTATATAAATAATTATTGTAAATACGTAGTTATAATTGAGATACAATGCATATACCTTATCTGTTTCATCTATGCGCTATTTTTCCTTTAAAAAAAACATTTTCAATTTTTTTTTTTTTTTTCGGTAATTTTAAGTAGATCCATTGTGAATATACTATCATCTTACCTAAATTGCATACAACTGAAAACAATCAAAGACTTTTTTTGGCATTATTATAGAAATTGTTTACCTTATCTGTTTACATACAAAAAGAATGCACGCACGGGTATATTAGATCTTTAAAAAATTGGTTCCTTTCATATCATTTCAGATGCGGAAAGCGACAACTAAAAAAACCAGTCCACAAGTTGAACATTATCTACATCAGAATGTCAAAAAGAGGGAGAACTGGAGTTGAGAATGAATCATGCAAACTGAGGAAGAGACACAATAAGCAGGTCAGTTGTTGAATTTGAATTTCATTCTTAACACCAATTAATGAGAAAAAGATAAATAAAAAAAAGAGAAGAGATAAAATACATATAACTCTTTGTAATTTTATTGATGTCTTTTTATCCATGATTTTTTGTTTTCGTTTATCTTTGTAATTGGTATAAGTATAGATTCTGTGAATGATATAAATCTCTTTTTCGATAATTATAGAAGTAAAATTTTTATATATATATATGGAGAAAAAAAATGCAAATAAAGTTGATAGTCTTGGTTCTATTTAAAGGAAGTATAAAAAAAACATTAATGTGCAAAAGTTGCCAAATTTTATTCAATATAAATTAATTCTTGTAAATTATGACCTTCTTATATGGGCGTTTAGAATAAGAATAGTAGTCTTATGGTTCATTGTATACACGAAGCGATACGATTATGCATGCTAAATTCTGCTTGGAGTTTCTTCCATATTTTAATCAAGTTTAAGAAAGAAGGTATTTTTGTCAATTTAAGATAATTATTTGAACTCAAATACATTCTTCTTTTTTAATACATCCATTTTTTTCAAATAAATTTACAAATGTTTACTTTCTCATTATTTGTTGTTGAGACATGTTTTATTGTTAATTTTATATTTTGAAGATGACCGTAATATTGACTTTTGCCTTTGTGTTAATTTTAGCCGAACATTGTTCCCAAAATAATTGTATATAAGTTTTATTCATTTAGTATAGTACCTTGATATGTTCTGTCATTAGTTTCGTAATGAAAAAAATTATTCCTTTAGTTTCATATAATTTTAGTTTTAGTTTTATTCATTTAGTTTCGTACTCTGACATGTTTTTTTTTTCATTTAATTTTCATTTAAAACTTTGTTGTGACGTCATTCTATTGTTGTATCCGTTCTTTATTTCAGAGATTTGACTAACATTTACCTGTAAGAAACCATTATGTTACCTTTAACTGTCCAATATTTTTAAGAATAACCCTCCTCTTTCTTAAACATATTTGAAAGCTGGAGGTAACATAATTGATTCTTACAGGCAAGGACTGAAAAAAATCCATCAATTCACATTTTTCATTTTGAAAAAAATTAACAACGAAAGAACAAATGACAATTACACCAAAAACATTTTTTATTAAGGTCACTTTCCAATACAATAATTTCATCACGCATCAAGACGGTGTCTTGAAAAAGAAATTTTAAATTGATTTTAACACTGCCAGCGTCAATACTTATTTCACAGTCATTTTCTCATGTTTTGGGCTGTCTCCTTTAGCACCAATTTGGTTGACAATGCTCGTTGTAAGTTTTGTTTTTTGGTGCTTTTAGGTAATTCTTTTTGCACAAGTTTTTTTATATCCTCGTCCGTCTTTGAATGTAAAAATCGACATCTGTGTTGCTCTCATTCTCCCTTACATCATTTTAAGCTACAATGAAAATGAAAAAAAAAAATTAATGCTTCTAACGCTTGATAGATCATGCCGCAATACGAGGACCACAAGTAAAATAATTTTATTATCATTATTAGGAGATATCGTTCATCTGAAGTAGATGTTTTACTAAGTGTTGAGGTGCAAGCCACATATTGTTCCTTGGATAAAATAGTTAATTAAGAATTTGATTAACAACCCTAAACCTCATCTCGTGTAAAAAATGCAAATCAAGAACTTGCTTCATGAACTAGGGTGCTACAACAGTTTTTTATAATTTTCAGGTGTCGGCATTAATTTGCTAGTTTTTTTTTTATTAAAAAATCTGACAAAAGGAACACGTTGCCTCAGGTTTAATAAATCAATCGTTTGTCCGATTCGCACTTTGTTCGTAGTGATCGGGTTTTTTTTTTTTTTTAACCGATGTACATAGTCTCTTGAAATTAAATAAACGTAGGTGCTTGATTTAATCATATGTTTGTTAAATATGTTTTAGACAGTTTGTAATTGTGTTATATAAATTTGAACAGAAACCCCTTTCCTGCATTGAATTGAGTGAAAAAGGGGGAGTTATGAATAAAGGTATTATAACGTCAAAATACGAACTACATTTGTTTCTTTCCAATGTATATATGAACAGTTTCAAACACTTAAGATCTCAAAAGTAATATTGATTTAATACAATAAATATATATTAAGCACAAAAACAAAGATATATACACTTAAAATGCGTTGTTTGCAAAGGGAAATCGAGGGACAAAATATATTTCGGTAAGAAACATGAAAAAAACCAAAAAAGGACAGCAATAATCACATAAACTAAAAAATGAGCGACACGAACCTTGCAGAAAAAACTGGAAAAAGGGAGGTAGGGGTAGGAGTATTCAGGAGGTCCAGCTTGGGTAAACAATAACCGCTGAGTCAAGGTCAATTTCTGTGAACGAGGAAGAAAGAGGGAAAATTATGAATTAATATATTTTTTTCATGTATAGTAGGTGAATATGTCTGATTGATTTCTTGATCTCCTGATATTTCATGGCGATAACTACATCAATTAATTTTTGCAAGTAAAAGATTTAATATTTGGATCATATTTCTCTTAAAATTTATTGAAATAATATAAAAGGAGGAAATTCCGATGAACACCAAAAGAATTAAATTGCTTGCGCGCTAGTTATTTCTTCATGTGTGTTCGTTCATTATATTTAATTAGTGTTGTATTTGAAATAAAATCGACTGCGATTGAACTTTTTTCTGCAACGTTAACCTGTCTTCAAGCTTCACGTGTTTTTCTTTTTTCTCATTCGCCTAATGAGAAATAAAACCCAAAAGGAATAAGGAAGTAATAGGTGAGGACTATATTTTAAAATATATATAAAACTTGCCATTATTAGCTGCTATAACTAAATCCTCCTCGTTGTCCGCACTGCAATTGGAAATATTTGAACACAGATTTAAATTTTATCCAAAGTTTAAATCAACACAATCACTATATTCGACATCGCTATCTTCTTGTCGGAAAGGATTTTGCATTAAGAATATACTTTATGTCTTTATCCATTTTTAGGCACCAAACGCATGTGAAGGTATTCACGGAAAATATATAATGTAGTCCTAGCGCACGCAAAAAGCATGACACACTGTACTTTATTTTTTTCTATTGTTTAAGTTGAGTTAATGTTTAAAGGGGCCAACATGTAGGATGATATTAATAAAGTTTATCCAAAACAATTTACAGACTTAATGAAAATAAATCTTGACAAAAGTTTGTATTTGTTTACTTTTTTCACTTTCTTTGACAATGCTAAACAATGTCTCAAGTAAGATATAAGCTTCTAACAGATCATTCTGTTATCGACCTATATCCTTTACTGCAAGTTATGTTCATTGGGTTTCTTTTTCAGCTTCATGGTTTTTACATTTCATATCGAGATCAATGACGCTCAACATGTGCATATGTCCCGGGGGTGGTCAAAGGTTAAGACAATATACGATCTATGACAATATATCACATAAAATTATACAATTAGCGCATTTTGACTGCTCAAAAAGAACGATTGCAGGATAAATGTCAATACACATAGCTCACCTTTCTTCTTGAAAAATCAGTGTTAACCTTGATGGAAGAATATCCCAATCTCTCGTAGAATTTTGATGCTGTATGAATTGTCGTTTTTTTTTAATTATAACACTTTTAAGTTTGTACAATAAGTTGGAATTTATTCTATCGGTTTATAGAATGTGAATGTCGAGTGACAATTGACAATAAAAGGCTGTGTTCAAATTGTTATAACTTCTTTGTCTGCAGAATTATTGGACGGATGTCCCGAAACCAATGCAAATAGACTTGGATTCGGGAACAGCTCTCTTTTTTTTAATGGGTTCCAGTGACCGGTTTAATTATAGTTTGGGTTTAGAAAAGGATGCAGAATAGAATTTTTTGTGATAATTTACTTTCTAAAACAATCTGAATAATTGATGAATAACCCAAAATGTAATGAAAAAGGAAACTTCCTTCATAAATAATGTTGAAATGGTGTAATTGTTAAATGGATACCCCATAGTCTGTGTTTTTCTATTAAATTGTTGCATAAATGGACTCAAGCCGTAGCACACAGACAGAAAAATAAACTGTGTGTTGGAAGAAAGCATATTATATAGTTGAAAAGAATTTGGAAATCAAAATGGTGTTCCCATAATTTAGGAGAGTATATTGATATCACCTTGCAAGGCTGTATGTACATACAAGCCGGAGGTAGACATTTACTTAAAAACTGCTGACATATTGTATAACACCACAAAAAATATTATATCATACGTGTAAATAATTGCTTTGACATAAAAAAAAAAAAAATTAACAAAACGGAAAAAACACTTGATTCTTCCTTTTGGTAATAGTGCATTATATACGTATCCCTTGTAAGATCAATACTATCTTATAAACAAATATGAATCACACTTTGATAACATTATAAGCGGTTAATTTAGAGTAAATCTTTTTATATATTGTCTGTATGAACCAAAAGACGCTAAATTAAAACTTTGTAATGCCCTGCATACAGTTTTCTTATATTCCAGAATAGACAAATACAAATTTACTTACAAAAGTGTTTATTTTTCAGTAGTATTTTTGGGCTTATGCCACCAAGTGTATCCGGGCTATGCTAGGTCACACTGAATCCTTGCCAAGTTTTGTTATTTTTAAATTTATTAAAATAGAGAAATAAGTTTATCTTATGATGACTTGGATAGTTAATTAATAATTAGATATGTAAATCATGTTGCATTTGCCTGACGAAAACTACTGTTGTGCGTTACGGAAATAACATTTATTTTTTTAATGAAACTAAATTCCTTCGTTTCAAGGAAAAGTTTGATCTACTTTAAGTTTATAACGTCTTAAAAGAAAACAACGAGACATTGCATGGTGTACGTTTCAAATCGATATGAGCACATGTATATGAACAAGAATTTACGTGATGTTTGTGTCACTATTAATTTGTGTGGGACATTTTTCGTTAATATGTTTCTGGAATCAATGAGACGTTGTGTTTGTTGTATCCAGTGGGTGATTGTAGAATGTCAAATATATCGATCTCCTGATTCATATGTTGTTGGCATGTTTTTTTCTTGATTTGTAATTAAACGCTTTATTATTCCTATTAAAGAGTATCACATGGTTTTTTTACAGAGGTTTCATGCATGTATATCATCTAATAGTAAAGCCCTTAACATAACAGCGTTTTATTGTGGGGTTCGTGTTGCTCAGTCTTTAGTTTTCTATGTTGTGTTTCGTGTTCTATTCTTTATCTTTACGTCGTTTTACGTGTTTTTGCTATGGCATTGTCAGTTTGTTTTCGACATATGAGAATGAATGTTCCTTTGGTATCTTTCGGCTCTCTCTTATGCTCAATAGATTTAAGTCAATAATTAGATTAATTACTATAAATAGTAAATCTTCAGCGACAATTTTTTTCAACTGTAAAAACCATGTTTGAAACACTGTTGAAGGAGGATAAGTCAATTGTTAAGTAGAAGTCCTGTTGGTATTTAAAACCACAGTCGTCGTTGATATCCTAAACATCTGATGGTCAACGTATCATATGACGGTTATTCAGAACATGTTTGTCAATACTGAAATGAATCTTTCCTTTGTTTATAGGCAGAAGATGAAAACGATCGATTAGAAAGAAGTTACAAGAATCTACGTTTTGCTCAGAGAGGTCTATTTGATAAGCGTAACAAATATGGCAATTTTGTAACTATCAATCAAGGCACTATTCAACCTTATAAACTAGATGATATTTTATATATGTATCGGCAATTGTATAAAAAGGCAACTGACATGACAGATAGAACTAGGGTTCTAATAGCGTATGATCCTAAACTTTGGAATCAAGTATGTGACAAGAAGAAATTAGAACTACGACCTGATGGAAACTATCTATTAGAAAATTCACAAAAATTCATTAACACAGGCGGGGATATATTTTTTTACATCAAATCTGACAAAAAGTCAAATGCTGACCAAATACTCGAGCTACTGAAAACAGGATTAGAAGATGCAGGAATCACATGTAAAAATTTAAGTATCACAAAATCAAACGAATATGGCAATACATTGATAATAAATGGTTCTTTCAGAGAAGGGTTAGCCAATTTGTCTGACCGTTGTTCTGTCGACCAACTTATTTTGATTGGGGAAATGGAAAATGGGGAAATAGGGGGAACATACATGATGACTCAGAAATTTAAAACCCATTGGGAAATCTTAGGATCAAAGCCTGATTCAACAAAGGAAGAAATGATTGGTAGAAAGATGTTTGGACTGGGCATCATTCCATCACTCTCAGAAAGCAGCCATATCAAACGCGCTCATACTTTAGACGATTTTCCTCCTCCCTGTAACGTATCTAAAGGTCTCCGTCGTATCTATCGACAGTCGATGCCATATGGAAGTTGTCAAACTCATCCCGGTAGAGAAGAAGGTGCTTTCTATATTTCCATTGCCAAATCGACGACGATTTTCCATGATATATTAGAGAATATCAGTGGGTGCCCTGGAACCACCTTTGACGCTTTCCTAGATGTATTTTCCTCTTTAGAAGGAAGTTTTTGGTATGTTCCTAGCTCTGAAGAGTTAGATCTCCCAGTTGTTGACAATAGATATTGTAGAGTTGATTTAGATGAACAGTGGAACGTTCCACGAAAGAACAAGTACCTTTTCTATAACCACAAACAATACTTGCATGAAATCGATAAGGATGATAGTGACCCGGACCGAGTTTCAACCAGAGTGCTACGATTACTACAGTATACATTTGAACAGTGGAATAATGTTTGGTACAGAAAAACAGTCGTTCCTGATATTCCCGACCTGTCAAAAATGTTGAAAAATTCAGAGAAACATTTCCTAAAAGAAAGCGTTCCTTTACGAAAAGGATTGGCCATTAAGAAGTCGCTTGGTGAATTATTTACAACTGCAAACGTAAAGGCAAGCATGAGCAATCCCTCTGAATTCTATGGATGGAAGTCTGATCTTTTCAACATACATCCTGATGAAATTATAGTAGGACGTATGCCGAAAGACAGCACACTTGGCCTTGGGAAGAAAGTGATGAAGTATCTGAATGACGATGAGAGGATGACGTTTTATTTATTGGGTCTTAGTGAGTCATCTGCCGTTGGTCATATCATTCCTGATTACAGTAAATTATTGAATTTAGGTGTCAATGGACTGATAGAAGACATTAAAAACAAATATGCCAAAGACGAAGTTAATGACTTCTATAAATCATGTATTTTTGCATTGGAAGGCGTAAAGATGTATCTTGAAAATTATAGTCGTTTAGCTGCTTATTTGTACACTCTTAGCAAAGAGTATTCGAACAGCCAGAGACAAAACCTGGAAGCAATCAAAGCTCGAATGGAACATCTTTCAATAGGCAAGCCAGACAACTTTACTGAAGCAGTGCAGCTAATATTCTCTATGCACTGCTGCCTTCATTTGATTGGACAACCCGTAGCAGTAGGAAGATTAGACGAACTCCTGGCACCGTATGTAAACCAATCAGGTAATAAAACAATATCGAATCAGGAAATAATTGACTGTTTTTGGATAAAATTTGGTGAAAGAGTAATATTAGACCCTCATCAAGCCACAGACGTTACCAGCTGGGGAAATTGTGCAGTGCCATACACGTCAGATGGTAATTTTCCTAGAGGCGATTCTTTGAATCAGTGGGTGCAACAAATTACTGTTGGAGGTTATCACAGCAACCCGAAGACTATCCAAGCGATGAATGACGTCACAATTCTTTGCCTGAAGGCTGCAAGGCGTCTTCCGTTAAACGCTCCTTGTTTGTCATTGCGTCTTCACAAAGGAATGAATGAGGAAATATTACAAGAAACAGCAAAATCATTGCTGAGTGGCGGAGCACATCCAATACTTCTACATGATGACAGAATAATTCCCGCTTTAGAGTCAAGTCCTCATCTTCAGAAAATGCCAATAAAAAAGGCTGACATACAAAACTACGCTTGCGACGGTTGCTTTGAACCACTTTTGGTTGGAAAGTCTGAATTTGCATTCACCTACGTACCATTGCCATTGGTATTAGAACTTACTATCAATCAAGGTAATTCGTACGTTTCTGCAGGACCAGCCTTCCTGCAAGGGAAACCAAGTTCCTATCGATCTGTCTCAGCATCAGACATTAAAAGCTTTAAACACCTGCAAGATATATTTGAAAGCCATTTAAAAATTCAAATCGAAGGGTCTTTATATAAATTGCTAGCAAATTACGGCAATATATGGAAAGCATGCCCGGCACCATTACTGTCGACGCTTATAGATGGCTGTCTTGAGACAGGCAGGGATTTGTATAATGGAGGGGCAAAATATGTCGTCGCCGCATGTATGTTCATTGGTTTCTCTAATTGCATCGACTCGCTCTACAGTATAAAGAAATTATGCTTTGACAACACTTCTGCCTGTGTTTCTCTAGAAGAAATTCTTTTAGCATTGAAAAATGACTGGGGGTTTGGCATGGCAGAGCCATTTGTAGATGACAATGCAGGAATAATGAGGTCCGCTGAAAAAAGTACTTACTATCGATCTCTTAGACAAAGGGTTCTCACATTTCCAAAATTTGGAACTGATGCTGGTGCAGAAGACAAAATAGTACAGGAACTAGCTGAATGGTTGTCCAGTATGGTCGTTTCGACATTTAAAGACGTTGTGGAAAACTCATCAGAAACAGATGCATTATGCCAGCTGTTTACACGCTTGAAAAAAGAATATTCAACAACCAAAGCACCATTTGAGTGTATCCTCTGCCCTGGAAGCGGTACCTTTGAAGGTTATGTTGGTTGGGGTATGTCACTTGGAGCGTCTGCAGATGGAAGGAGGAAAACAATGCCAATTGCATCAGATTTCAGTGCTGCTCCGGTAATTCAAGATGGCAAATGTAAACCATCTCAGAATGACATTTACAAGTGAGTTTAACCTTTCAAAGACGGATATCGTATACACTCTTTTCTAAATGTATTTAGTTATTTGTACCGTTGGCCTACATTCTAATTGACATACGTCCAACATGTTCTTTAGATCAACTTTGATATTCAAAAGAACGTAAGATTATTATAGCTATAAGACATTCATAAATGTTACACACATTGATGAGATATTAAATTCCAATGTATTTTGTTGTGACACTATTTAAGAATATTTCACAATTTTAACATTTTACAAACTAGCGAATTGATTTATTCCAATTTACCTACGACTCTCATATCTATATGAAAAAAAGAGAGAAGTTCCTGCATTGCAAACATTCGAGGAAAAATAGATCAGTGCTTAGATTTCCTAGCTGCAATATGTATTTGTTTAAATAATATAATAGTTGTCATTAACTAAGAATTAAAAGACATGTTGTATCTGTTACTATTTTCCTTCTTCGGAATCATACTTTTTTTATTTGAAGTAAGACAAGTTGCATAGACAGATCTTGAAATTTTACTTTTGAAATTTGCAGGTCCATGAAAAACTGGGATCATTGCGATATGAAAACCGGATTTTCTAATGGAGCAGAAGTTGATCTGAAAATACATGAAAACTTTCCTGAAGATGAACTGGTTAACTTTATCAGAAGCTATGCTAACGGAGAAGACGGGATTGGCGCAAACCTTCTAACAAGTGAGATAGAAGTTTTTAACTTTAACCTTTGAATTGAATAACTTAAGTCAGAGATTACTTTCTTAGAAATTCAGCAAAAAATGTATAGATATTATCAAAAAAATTAATAAGGGTAATGTCGGCGTTCAAACAATAGTTCTTACAGTCAAATCTATTTCTGCATAAAAATTTAAAAAAAAAACAAAAACTGTATACTGATAATTTTGATTCCAAATTATAGCTACAATGTTAAATTTAAATTCATTAAAGTTTCGCCAACTTTCCGATTGTGCCCCTGATAATGGAACAAAGTCCAATTGATAGAACTTAACTTTCTTCCGTAATAGTTTATGGATTAAAGTAAAGACACAGCTTTTTTGCAAATCCTCATGCTTTTAGATATTTACACGTAACTCCAAACATACACATAGATTAAAACAAATATGACATAATACCATTTGTACTAGTTTTGACCTGTGCATAAATATTTTTAGTAACATGTGCTGATGAAGACACTTATCAACAAGCTTACAGAGATTCTGAAAAGTACGATTTGATCAGAGTGAGAATGGGAGGTTGGTCAGAACATTTCGTGGCAATGTTCAAAGCTCACAAGAATCAACATATGAGGCGTGCATACTATAACCCACCTTCTCTCAAAACCGTTTCAGAAAGTGGAGCAATCTGAACTATTGGCCATTCACCCATGAAAGAATTGTGGATGTGCATCACCATTGAATGAAGCTTTAAAATCTACCGCTATCATTGAAATATGGACAACTTAAACTTACTTACTTTATATATTACTTTACGACTGTAGATAATGCTAAGATGTTCATTGCTGTCTAAACATTACTGCATTCCTGTCCATTGGACAAAAATAAAGTAAAAAAGATTATTTCATATATATCATATAAAACTGAAACATTTTATCTGGTTGACCATTACACGCGTAGGTTCCAACAAAGTGTGAAGGAACCTGTCATTGTTATTCTCGGACGCATGAAGCTCAAATAAGGAATCAGTTACGACGTGGATCGGTACTTATACATCCCGCCATTGTGTTATTGTGCTATGGTCAATTGTGAGTTCTTGTCTTTCATTTTTGCTTATTTACTTTGTCTACATGCCATTTTGTGTTTCTTTGTTGAAATAGTTATTTGTTTATTTGGTGATTAAGATTATATTACAATGTTGACTGCTGTACCCCAATTTTTGACGTTTTTACCTATTTTAGATATAAGAAAATGTGGTATGAGTGCCAATGAGACAACTCTCCATCCAAGTCACAATTTGTAAAAGTAAACCATTAATATTATGTCTGTTTGTTTTGCTCACACATTGTTGTCAATATAATGAACTTCTATGCGACTGTCATACAAGTGAGAGGTTTAGCTAGCTATAAAACCAGGTTTTATTCACCATTTTCTACATAAGGAAATGCCATGAGTCAGGAATATGACAGTTATTTTCCATTCGTTAGATGTGTTTGAGCTTTTGATTTTGCCATTTTATAAAGGACTTTCCGTTTTGAATTTCCCTTGGAGTTTGGTATTTTTGTTATTTTACTTTTTGCAAGTAACCATGTTTATACCCGTTTTGATTATATATTTAGAAAGTCAAACATATTGAATGCATTAAAAGTTTTCGGTTAAATATACCAATAACCTATTATCAAATAAAATATATAAATTCATTGCTATTAAAATTTTTGGATTGATCGATTGTTGCTTAAATCACGTCCATTTGCACATATTTAATCCATATGAAGAATATTTTGAATATTAAGCGTTTAACTGGACTTTCTTTTTAGATGCAAAGCTTTCGAAACCAGAGTACAAAATGTAAAAAAATCACATGGAGCACGGAGTCTGTAGAGTGTCGAAACAAAATACACCCGCTCGTGATTTTTTAGCATATTCAACAAAGACTTTGACAAGGAAATTGTAGTATATTCTAGCTTTAACATTCCAATAATTACATCTCATGTATGTTTCATTATAATACGTTATTTTGATTGGCTAACAGCAATCTCGCTGATTCTGAAATTAACCTTCATTTCAAAATGCAATGTAACATTCATGACGAAACGAGCTTCCACAATAAAGTGCACAGGAAAATAAAAGAAAAGCTTGATAAAAATCGTGTTTTCATGATCCTAGCAAAAAAATGTAATTATAAGTATTGAATGCTTCTTTTAGTAGTTTTATAGGGTTGTAAAAGCGTTGACCGTGCAAACATTTTTTGAATGAAGCGCTTCGGTTAACGTTTTTAACCCAAATAAATTTACAAAAAGAAGCATTCAATTCTTAAGTAACATAGCGTTTTCTCTCACAAATCCTGACTCGCCGCTTCTGGAAATATATTTTGAATAGGACCAATTTATATTGTTATGTTTTTCATGGGAGGTAAACTTAATAAACATATTTGTGACCCGCAATGACATTTCCAGGCTTATGGTGGTAAACGTCATAAAAAGAAAACGTCGATGTAAAATGACGTAACGTACTCGGGGCACCTGTTATTGAATGTCTAATTATACCATGCGGTAAAATAAAGTTCATTTTTTCTTGACTTGAGGAAATTTGAATGTTATATTAAGATATACAAAACAAGTTCATTTTTTCGGAAAAAATTAATAAAGTAGGTTTAAATCCCGTTTAAAATCGTGTTTTAAATTCGCACAATTTATCTTCCAGATTTCATTGCGTAAATCAGTTTCTCCTGCATAAAATGTTTTCGGTTATAGAAAATGGTTTAAATTATATCACCATTGCGAGATATAAAGTACCGAAAAATTATAAACGATGCGTAAATTTATTTTCTTTCCAGGATCAGTTTCGAGCGGTAGGTTTTCGTCAAGGGGAATCACACATATTTATTTCACACTATGATAAGTCACTTAAAGAAATGGTTTCACGATGGCAAGTGAATTAAGTGTATCATCAACTTCTATGGCAACCGAATAGTTAATACAGAAATAAATATTCGTTAGTTATTTAGTTATAAAAGCTACAATTAAGACTAGACCCCGCCCCCCCCCCCCCCCCCCCCAAAAAAAATAAAAAAACATGACAAGTTCAAAAGATAACTATAATCGATGAACATACATGTGAAAAATTGAAAACATTTTTTTGTTTTTTTATAAAGTTGAAAATAACAAAAATGACTATAATTCTTTTATTTTGTAGAATCTAGCAAAATAACTTGTCAGGGTGTTTTAAAGATATGTATATTTCATAAAATGCAAAACAAAACTCATTTTGATCATGGTACCTCCATAAGCCTGGAAATCGCATGGCTGGTCACATTTGTGTTTATCAAAAACTTAATATAAATATATAGATATCAAAATGTTTCCCACTAAATAAAAAAGGTGCGGACTGATTGCTGGCTACCTAATTTTCATTTGGAATTTATAGTCCACAAATTATTACACCGAAAACTAAAGACTGAGCAACATGAACCCCATTAAAACTGAATGCGATCTTATGTGCTCAAGAAGGGTAAGCAAGGCATCAAGCTCGTTGTTTTTACCTTTTTTTTAGGGTGCATATATAAATACCTTCAATAATCATGTTAATTTAATAAAAATATACTCTCTGTATTATTTAAAAGAATTGCTGTGCGTTTGTGTTGTATTGTATTCATTTTGTATATCAAATAAATATAAAAATAAACATAATGCACATCTTATAACTTTTGTTTTCATAAGGCGCAAAACATTAAGAGATTATACGAATGAATTAAAGGTCTTTAAACAAACAAACTAACATAAACAGGAGGAAATATATCAAAGACACAACCAAGGCTTTAAGTCGATAAAAGATATGCAATCAAGGAGCAAAAAAGCCGAAGTTGAATAATAACAGACAATTCCATGGTCAAAAAGAAAAACAACGAAGTTTCATTGCTAAACCTCTTTATAGACAGTCCCCAACACACTACATTCACAAAAACTAAAAATTGATCAACACAAAATCCACCAAAAACAGGATGTGAATAAACTCATTATAGATACCAGGCTTACAATTTTGTACGCCAGAACGCGCGTTTCGTCTATAAAAGACTCATCAGTTTGAATCAGAAAAAAAAGGAAAAATGCCCAAAAAAGTACGAAGTTGAAGAGCATTGAGGACCCAAAATTACGAAGGTTTCGCCAAATACATCTAAGGTAATGTGAACTCAAGTGCTCCGGGGGATCATCATATCCTACTCCCGCTGCATGTCATGTTACGCGTGTAAAAATATTTTGATGAGTCGTATCCACCAATTAGGCATCAAATAAAGCGGATCTGCTAATTGCCCTTTTCAAACACCGAGATATTAAAGGTTCATAAACCGTTGATACATGATTATTTTTTTACCGTAAAATTTAGAGAATAGGATATGGGGTATCCATCAATGACACAAAAACAGTACAGCAAAAAACACACAAAAAGCAAAGAAACAGCGCTTTTATTGCTGTTCTTCATCTCAAAGTCACTGTGAGGTCTTCAACACGGAGCAAAAAAACAAACTCTCACCTCACTGCAGGTTTAATAAGTTTTAAATGAAAATACGGGTTTGAAGGCCAAAAGCAAACACGTAAGACAACATTTAGATAAATTATCACAGATTCATTGGGAGATTTTAAAATGCTTTGAACATACAATGCATATAAAGAACAGTTTGTTTTCTATTATGTTATGGGCACCTTGTGATTTACCAAACCAAAATTATTTCTTTATACCGTCAAAAGTATGTTCAATAAAGAAAAAATATGGAAAGAAAAACAAACAAAAACTAAAATTCGAAGGAAACAGAAAACACTAAGAGAAGAAAGGCGAAAAGCATGTTATTGACTTATCTTTTTATGAATGCAAAATAATGTTTTAAGACCTTTAACATTTCTTTAGTGATGTCGGGAGCAGAACTACGGGAAAACTAAGTAAATGTTAACCACATAACAATATATAAACAATCTTATTTTCATAATTCTCAAAATTGTTCATCATCAAAATTTAAGATACTACCCGTCTCCATACCAAATACCATTATAGAGTTTGTTTATCTAGATAATGAATTTTGTTGTGGCGAAGTTATTTCTGTATAATGAAAGTGGTGGATATAAAACTATGTTAAGATGGTATCTCTTACAGCTTAAGGTATGATACTTACAAAAGTATCAATATCCTACATTTCATATTTATTAAAAGTCTTTATAAAGATGGAAATCTTGAATACTGATCTGAAAGTGACGGATACGTGGTGGATTTTATATAAAAGAGGGACGGAAGATACCAGAGGGACAGTCAAACTCATAGATCGAAAACAAACTGACAACGCCATGGCCAAAAATAAAAAGACAAACAGACAAATAATAGTACAGATGACACAACATAGAAAACTAAAGACTAAGCAACACGAACCCGACCAAAAACTGGGGGTGATCTCAGGTGCTCAGGAAGGGTAAGCAGATCCTGCTCCACATGTGGCACCCGTCGTGTTGCTTATGTAATTACAAATCCGGTAAAATATTATTATGTTATAAATAAGTCAATAACATCAAATTGCCTAACAGCTTATTTATGATTTATGTATAAATAGAAATGTACTTAATGACGAAGGCGTGATGAAATCCAGTACAGAAAGTTCCTTGTAATATATTTATCAAACACATTTTCATACTCTGGTATCTTTCCCAAAATCTGACATCAACAAACAAACCTTTTTATAACTTACTACGTGTACAGCTGGGCATTTAGAGGTATCAGTTTGGAATCCAAACTGTCGGTATACAAGGTCGGGTTTGGATTTGATTAATTACGGACGTAATAAAAATATTTATGTCTATGGTTTCATTGCATTATTGTTACTACAACGCATTTCGATGTATGTAATTTATTAAAATATAACTTACAAAACCTTTTTATTCCACTTGGACGTAATACCATCTTTTAGTGACTGCCATGCTTCTTTTGTGAAAAGCACTTTTTTTCCTCGAAATATCATGTTATGTTTTCGTCCAAAAAATTCGTCGGAAAGATATGATGTTGTATTGAATGTCCATTTTACAAATCGTTATGGATATATTCCCGTTGTCTTACTTCTTATCAGATGTTCTATAATGATTATGACTTACTACCGGCTTTTAAATTACCTTTGAACAATATGACGAGTGCTGCATGCAGAGCAGGAAATGATTATCTTTCCAGCGCATCTGATTTCACTTTCGGTTTTGTGGGAATTCGCTTTGTTCGTGCTTAAGTTTTCAGTGTTTTCTATGTTAAACTTTGTGTTTTATTTTTCTTTCCACTCCTTTTGTTTTCTTATCCTGGTATGTTTTCCTGGGGTTGTCCTGTTTTTTGGTTGTGTTTTGGTATACATCTGGCCTTGGTGTTTTGTAGGAGGAGAATTTTAAAAATGTCAGCCAGTTAAAATTAAATAGTGTACGTGGTCTTGATATGTGTTGCCCAATCAGAGTCAAATCAAGTAATTGTACAGAATTATTCTTACATTTTCCCAACAAAGTTACAAATAATGTAGCCCTCAACTTTAAGGTGACGTTTTCAAAAATTTAAATAAATCAAAAATGAGCATTGCCAAAGGCAGCTATTGTTGTTCTTAGATCAGGATAATATGAGGATGGCCTACACATCAGTCCTAAAAAGTACTGATTATTTACATTGTATTTTCAAAAGGATTATTTTCTATATTTCAACCGATCAGAAACAAAATTACCTGGTACGTTCGTATTTTTTGTCAAATTGGCGCAAAAAGGGAAATTGATACGGGCACAACGCACTTTAAGTTTATAGGTATACAAGTCAAAATGCCACGTAGCTTTTACGGAGAAGATTTATCTTTTTTTCCAATTCAGAAACAAGAATAATCTCCATACGTAATTAAACCGAATGTCATTTTAAAAAAGAGGGGTCCATGAACTCGTTTTCAAGTTAAATCAGTCTGAATGATAAAAATCAGTCGAGAAATGCATCTTTTCCCAACATGTCACAGTTTGACGTCGCGAAAATGACATTTTACGTTTGCAACGTCATTACCTCCCCTGTAACTGTATCGTATGCCCTTAACACGGTGACCTTTAGTCGTTAACTTCTATGTCATTTGAGTTGTCTCATGGAGATTTGTCTCATTGGCAGTCATACCACATCTTCTTATTTTTATATTGTATTTCAAGACGCAATTTACCAGTTAGTGGATCATACTTAATTCTAACAGAACACAGAGCAAACATGTGAAAACTTTGCTACTCTCATACAAATGTATCTTTTACTATTGCAATATTGTGATTCTGAACGTTGTCTGAAAAATAACCACAGAGTAAACGTTTACTTCCAAAAAAAACATATACCGTCTATATATTTTTACCCTTTCAAATATTCTAAACATATCTAAATATTTTTGACATTTTATTGACTGTGTGGTTATTTTCTTTAGAATTTCTGTTTTAATCCTGTTTTCAAGCAAAAAGTGATTATTTCGGGAATATTAACCTGGTTTTTTTAACAGATGAGAAAAACGAGGTCTGCAATACATCAGTAGACATGAATAAAAAAGTTCTGGCAGAGAAAGCTTTTGTACCCAAGGATTCTACATGAACAGATGGTCGGCCATGGTAATTTAGCTGCATATTAGGAAAACACTCTTCCAAAGGTCTATGAAATAGTTTGTTACTATAATTGTTAGTGAATATTGACTATGGAACTATAATCAAAAAGAGGAGGGGAGTATGCTGGCATGGTAAGAATAAAAAACAAATCCTTTTGCCGTAGACATGATGAAAAGAAATATTCTGATATATGAAAAAACTGGATATAATTATGATCAAAATCGAAAATAATGTTTCACGGGACAAATAAATTAGCTGGCCTAGCAACAAGTGAAAATAAATATTCCGTCCATTAAAAATCCTCCTCCTCACAGAAAATCAAATTCTCGTCCCTTTATGAAGAATTATAATTTTGCTTGGCAAACTTGTGGTCTCGGTCGTATGATTAAATTCTTTTCTTGACGTGGGCACGGAAATTTGTATCATACG